GACCATATATACTTTCTGCCAGCCAACACGAGGATTATAGATCTGCAAAAACTCATCCATATCGAATATTCTGTGGCAGAATGACTCTCACTTTATAATTTCAAAAAGTATATTTACGAATAGAGAAAATGCTTAACACAAACGCAGGATGACCAGATCCTGGAAGACAACTTAATCCAAAATCATGACTGAAAATATGCATATTCATCCCCACAAAAAAAACCATTATAAGTCAGTTTATCTAATCCTAACCCCGAGGTCCAAAAGGAATCTTACATTCGAAGCACTGACTAGCACACTTTTTTTTTAGGACATCTGTTACAATGCTAAATAAATAATATCTAGCAAAGGAAGAGAAACAGGCTTTCTAACCCACTAGCAGCTGAGGCCATCAAAGATTGAATACCTACACTGAACGCCAAATCGCTGAACGGCAAATTCTGTTGCATTGGACCAGGCTTCATGATCACACGGGCAACATTATTTTTCGTGATAATTACTTGCTCCACCTGAAAAATGAATATTCAGAATGCCAACCCGCCTGTCACAAAATCCTGAAGGAATTAAAGCGCAAGAGAAGGGTCAATCATTAAAGTAAAGACACCAGTGGTTTTAAAGAACTGTTACTTCCAGGTTCGACTGCACAGGAAAATATTCGAACGAAAAAAAGAAAAATGATCAAACCTGTCCCGTAGGCACAATATATGTAAGGAAATCGTGAACAGTGAGCTGCTTTGTATTGCGTTTTTGAAACAGACTACTAAACACCGACATCACCACCACGGCCACAACTGTCCCCAGCAATAAGCCGATGAAGAATTTCTCTGAAAAAGCAAACCTTTCACTGCTCCGTTCTTAACACTCCACAGCTTCTGAAATCAAAAGCACAAATAAGTGAAAGTGGTAAAGTATCAAGCACTCACCATATCCATGAAAAAACAGAATTTAAGAAAAATTAGGAATTCTTTTCCGGTGCAAATGCACAAATCCAAGCAATTTTTTGGACAAATGAAACAGTTTCGAAAAGCTTAAAGTTAGCAAGGAAAGTGAAAACGTACGACCCCTCTGGTCATCATCGGGCGGCTTTTTCGACGATTCAGAATTCGCGGAATTATCATCTCTGGCGCTCCTTCTCACATACAGAGCTGAAAAAAAAAAACGCATTTACGGAACCCGCTCGATGCAGACTTTAAAATTCGCATCCGAAAAGGGCCGGCAAAAGTCCGGACGCAAACATGAAGTATTTTGGGATTTCAGAGAATTTTTGCACGACGTTGCCAAATGCACTGATAATTGCTAGTTGAAATCTAAGTTCTGTACCCAGCACTGCATAAGTATTGCAATAAAATGTATCGGCAAGAATTTCACAGCGTTTTTCTTTTTTTCGTGGAGCCCGAAAATCCCCCTATCTCAGACATCAATATGCCCAATGCAGAAGCGAAATCACAACGAAATTTTGATCAACAAAGAAACCAACGCATTAAATAATTCCAAAAGCGTAATAAGAAACTAGCAGATGAGGGCAAGCGAAGCAGCAATAAGCAAAAAGATGTGTGAAGCACTCGCTTACCCGGAGATGTGCCAAAAAATCGAGACAAACTGACGGATGCGGGATGAGCGCATACCGCTGAGGCCGAGAGTTTCCCGTATTTTGAAGAGAACACGTAGGATGCGGGCAAGCCCAAAAAGCTCGTTTTGCCGTGTCGAAACGAGCATAAAGTGCGAAAAAGCGGAGTGCACGGGATTGAAACGATCAGTCTTCTTGACATCTGAAAAATACAC